AATCATTTTCAGACCTGTTTTACTACCAGGTATTTCTTAGCAATTTCCTCCTAGGCAGGAAGCTTATGAGACATGTCCTGATCCAAAGGAGACGCTTGTGAAAATATTTTAGAAATGTAGGACATGAACACGACCACAAACGATAACTTGATTAATCTGTCTGATAAAACGAGAAGGTATCTATCATTGGCAAAACAATAATACGATAGGTAGACCCCAGTCTGGAGACATACGCTAGTTCATTTTTTACGAATTTCGTTTCTTGCCATACCCTTTGAAAAGCTTAGGACTACAAATTGAAAGATTAAAAATACTTCTCGCGCTGAGTTCATGCATAGAGTGTTTTTTGCCTTTTCTGGATTCCGAGTTTTGCGTCATAGTGGTTTGCGCAATTAGCAATGGTCATGGAGACACGCATTTGGGAGATCCATGCTGAAATTCGAGGGGATTTAATTGGTTCAGTTAAAGTTTAAATTCCCCCATAAGCCTATGAATGTGACAAATGTACATAATATTCTTAAAAGAATAGTGCGGCCACTGAATTAACTGACTTAGACCACATATTCGAATTGACGTGCCTCTACTCCGATAAACAAGGGGGTAGCGCCTTACTTAACAAAAGTGCTGAGGGCGATATGAAAGTTGTTTTCAAAACTCTGAAACAGCAGACATTTGACCTTGAAGTCGCTGAGAATGAAACGGTATGCATTTAATGATGTTTTTCTTATCTTCTAGGTGGCAAACGTGAAAAAAGCCATCAAGGAACTGAAGCCTGCTGACTATGGCGAGTCACAGCTAAAGTTGATCCACGCAGGTTCGTGGTATTCTAATTTTAAATAAAAACCTTAAGGAAAAGTCATGGAGGATGATAAGACCCTTCAAGATTACAAGGTTGATGAGAAGGGGTTTGTAGTGGTTATGGCACACGTGGCAAAGCCTCCGCCAAAGGAGAATGTTACCGAGCCTATTAAAAAGGTAAGTATATGTTGGCATCCTTGTTATTGCTGTAGGTGCCCCCGCCTCCCGCTGCAGCGCCTGAAGCGCCGGCAACAGCAAACGAAGACAAACCTGCTCCAGCCGCAGCTAGCTCCGAACCACCAGCTACAACGACCCCCGAATCCGGGCCATTGTCGTCGAGCACTGCCGAAAGTACGCTTGTCACGGGCTCTCAGTTTGAAACAACTGTGACGGAGTTAATGAACATGGGATTTGAACGCGAGCAGGTAATACAGAAACACTTATATGCTGTTTATTGCCGTCAAAATCAATAAACTTCAGTCGCCATTTCGTTTTTAAATTGGTACGGAATTGGTACTATTTTATTTACCTGTCTGCCATGTAATTGCATTTTAGGTTGATAGTCGTGTTAATATTATATCAGCAACCATATATTATGGGTTTCATATATATCACTCTTCATTATTACACTGAATCTTATGTGTTTACTTCTCTTCACTCGAACCAGGCTCACAACAGTATTTCCAACCAATAAATTCGGTTTCTTCCTCCTCCCATTTTTCAGACGGGACAAAGGTTACACTGGTAACTCGACTGTGCAGTGACTGTATTCTTTCGAATGGGACGTTCCATTGATTTTCTTGTCAGTTACTGTGTAAAGGGTATGCAGGGGGTCCTAGTCTGCCGGAGCAACTAACCTGAGAAATGTCAGAAACTTGACTTTGAGTAGTGTTAAATATCAAG